TTTATATTCTTTATTTAATTTCTTTTACTGCTCTTAAAATTTATTATAGAGCTTCAGAATTTGAAATATGTGGTTGCATTTGTGTTTTGCATGTTTTTAGTTCGTGACGCTTAGAACCAACAATTATATCATCGTTAATAATTATTGCAAATTATGAGTGTTCATAACAACAAACCGACGAGTCTATTTAAGTGGCAATAAAGTGAATTTACACTAGGTCGAAAGTATCTTTTTCTATAAAAAAATAACTGGGTTAGAAAATGGCTTATAAATTTCAGAAACATTTTTGTGCATTTTTAAAAAAAATTATGGACGCAAGAAATAAAAAATAATGCGCTACAAATCACAGTCGTGTTTATGGTATTCGTACTCGGCCATAATTTCTAATTGATTCTGACGTCTCAAAAGTATACCATCATAAGAATTATTTTTCAATTGATGATACAAACAGGCTTCTATAAACATTTTAAAAGTGTTCATGTTCCTTTCAATTTTCACTGAGAAATATTACAGGCAAAAAAAGTTCGAACAGTTTATGTTCCTAAAAATTTTAAAACATTAAACATCGATTTATACTATTTTTTTTTTAAAAAAATTGGTCCCAAAAAAGTTGCTTAATATTAAATGTATTTTTATTACAAAAAAACCCGGAAACATTTCACGTCTTAAAAGTTTTTGTCTGCTAGTTAAAAATGAAAAGATAGTTTTCATGATTTTTGAATATTTTGTTCTATTATCTTTTACTTTAAAACGTTTTTTGAGTAGATTACCATCGAAATCTCTCATGTATACAATACACCTCCTAGAAGAGCGAAAGCCTTCGCTTGGGTTAAACAAGAGAACCGCTCCTCTAGTTGTCCGAATTTTATGACATCTTTCTTAATAGCCCTCACTGCGCAGGTTTAGTAGTACAGTACAGACATTGTGACATAGTTCGTCTAATCACCCACTGCGTAGTTTATGTTCGTTACGCCGGATTACTAATTTGATCCGTGTGGAGGCCTCTCATCTAGGAGGTGTTGGTTTGAGTCCATGTGACTTTCTGTCTTAAAGGGTTTTTAATTAAAGCTTATGTTCTTATAGTTAGTTTTAATTACATCACAAAAAATAACTGAAATTTTAAAGATCTTAGAACAAATATAGTTGTGAATATGGGGTTGGTCTGGATATTGTTTCCAAAAATTTGTAAAAAAAAAATCATATTTTTAATATAATTTTTAATTTATTTAGTATGTAGCAATAGTTTGGACATATACCTGTTTATACTCGAAATTACAGATTTGTTTAGTTTTTTCATAATTTTTTTTAAAGGAAGGTGGTTTCAAATATACAATAATTATACTGTTCACATTAATTCTTTTACACAGGGTTTTTGTGGACAATCTATGGGGCAAGTGTGGAGAAACTTACTAACTTATTAAGCAGTCGTTTATTTACTATTCAGAAAGATATATCTAAAACAAAGTAAAATTGATTTTAATCTACTCCTTAATGGAAGAATAAATATTGATATATCTTAATTAAAATACTAATTGGTAATAGAGTATTTTACTATATTAAGAACATTTTGAACGCGAATCAATATATTTGAAAACCATTATTCAATTTGATTTCTTTGAAAGCACTGAACACATTTTAAGTTGAATCAATTATAAAAATAACCATATTATTAACTTGATGAAATGGTCCAAATGGTTAACACACGGTGTATCCCTCATTAAAGCATTGTAAACAAACCGCAAAAGGGAAGACTAGACCGTTTAATGTAAGACAAATAAAAATACGAGTATATTTAAAGCTTTGTTTTCTTCCTTAACTCACCTATATTGAATTATATTCTATTAACAAACTTGATAAAACAACCCCTCTTTAAAATTTCTCAAAATCTCTAAAAAGTGGATTAATATAAATGTTTCAAGCTAAAACTTCTGATAAAGATAGAAAAAGACTATCTATTAAGGTATACAATTCCACAAAATCATTCTAATTTAGAGAATAATAAATAAGAATGTGTTATCTTTGTAACCATATTTTTTTACACACATATTTTGTATACATATTTTTGCCATTAAAAGAAATGGATTAATATGAATATTTCACACTAAATTTTCTGATTAAGATAGAAAAAGGCTATTGATAAAGGTATACAATTCTACAAAATCATTCTAATTTAGAGAATAATAACTAAGAATGTGTTATCTCTGTAACCATATTTCTTCACACACATATTTTGTATTCATATTTTTGCCGTTAAAAGAAGAATAGTGCCAGTGTAAACATGTTCACACCAATCCTTATTTCATGTGTAAACACTAGCCTTACTAGGTTAATGTCAAAATGGGTGAAAAACCGTTAGTAATAACATATGACTCTTTTTGAAATTATGAAAATAAAATATGTAATTAAAGGGGTAAAGAATTTGTAAGTTACTTTTGCACATTGGAAGCCTTTTTTAAATTTCTACAAAAATCACAGTGTAATTTTGCAACTGCGCATTGAAGAGTGTTTTAACGTTGCCAATATACAATATCTCACAAAGGAAACTTGACCAATAAGTTAAAACCTTATTCATGTCTACTCTAGCTCCGTATCCACCCTAGCCCCCTTTCTCCTAAAGTAAATTCAGAGTATGTGGAATATTAATATTTGACAGATATTCTTACAAGTAAACTTTATATTTTGAAACAGTTAATGAATAAAATTTTTAAAAATACATTTGATATTTTAATTTTTGAGTTATAAAAGTGATTTTATTTATCCACTCCTCTTTAAGTATTATTGAAACATCAATATTAAAAATTTATTTATTACAAACCTTTCACACTTTATCAAAGCAACTCTTTTACATATAAAATATCAAAATCCTCAACAACAAGGGCTCTTTGTTATTTTACATTCTCTGTCTAAATAATCTGAATGCGGGTAATATTAATTGAAAAATTGAGGCAGAAACTTATGGGAACCTTGTTTATCTACTTGATATTATAAAGCTTCAATAAGACGAAGAGAATATAAGTAAGATATGGAAATAAGATGTTTCGTTTTTGCTTCTGAATATTAATAAATATACATTTTGGAAAAAAAAAACTTTTATGCGAGTTAGAAAAAAAATAAAGGCCCAGTTCTCATACAAATAGTCTTAATATTTGTAAAAATATAAACAAATGCTTACGAGTATACTTTTTTCATATTTACAGTTTAACAACAAGGGCTTTTTATGTTTCAATAAATTAATAAACTATGAAAGAAACGAATTTTAATTTTAAATCAGGTACACGAGTTTTGCAAGAAGATTCAAAAAATTGTTTTACTGTAAACTAACACCGTACAAATTATATTCATTACAAATTAAACTTTTTTTAAAAGATTTTTCATGGTAACATTAGAACAAGTTAAAAGTATAAATACTTCACATATCAAAATTACGTTACTTTGATTACTTCATCAAAATTTAACGAAATTTTATTTTTAATATAATATTTTTAATAATTTATGTTTAATGAAATACATTCAAATTTTTGGAAAAATTTCGAACTAATTGAAAAGTAAATCTGATTTTGATAAACATTTAATCAAGTTATTATATTAATAATATATATATCAAGTTATTATATTGACAAAAATATTTGCTCAAGTTATAATATGATAAATATTCAATCTTGTTATTATGCCTTATCGGGATTAGAGTACAATTTTGTGAGAAATATTTCAACAATTTTTGCGATTTAAATCTTAATAAACAAACATGGATAGATTTATGTATTCAAGATCTAACGCAAGTAAAAGTCTAGAAATAACTTTTACTGTTAGATTTGTAATACAAATTATAAATAAATTTATCCATTATCCACATTTGCATGTGGATTAAAAGATGTCAAGCAATAAATTACTTAATTTTTTTCTGTTTTTTTTACGGATATTACAATTTGCTTTGAAGTTAAAAATATTAAATTATATTTGTGAAAAACAAATTCAAAAAATCTATTCTTTATTTTGCTCTTCATTGCTTGTAAAAATTTTTTTTTTGGAAAGTGTTTTTTTAAAGTTAAATTTTTGTTTCACTTTGCAGTGCTTTACAAAAAAAATTCTATGAAAAAAAATATCTTGTAATATCCATTTCATAATATCAACCTAAGAAAATGTTACAAATTTTTCAACGTAAGATCTATTTATATATAAGTAGTTTTTAATTGCAAAAAATGTCCTAAAAACGTGAAAATTCCTGTTATGGGACCTGAATATAAAGTTGAAAAAGGCCATGTATAAAATTGCTCAAGATTTCTTATCCCTTATGTAAATAGTAAAAGCTCTATAACAAAAAGCAATAAGGGACGTTTTATAATGGATGGATGCTTAAAGTTTGTAGTGGTGCTAGGCGATTTCTGAATTTTAAAATCGCGATAGATCATCAGGAAGTATCGATACTTCCTGATATTTTCTAAGTTGGATAATTTACAGAATTTTCCTATTGTTCAATATTTTTGTTTCGTAAATGAAATCACAATCTCTGACAGTAATATCATACAGATAATTATCGCTTTACTCATCATCAATAGTCCTCACTATATTATCATACTCAATATTTATAGTTGGCGATAATAATCTTGAAAAATTATATTATCCGTAATTTTTCTTATCGATAATGTTCACGACATTATGGTACTCAATATTTATCTGTGCTGTTAATTATTATAATAATTATTGTAAAATCTTTATTAGTTGTAATTCGATATTTATTGTATGTAAGATAATGATTTTAAGTTCGATGTTTTTCTTAGAACGTACAATATACCGTGACAATCACTGTTAGTTATCAAAGTACAGGGTTATTCATAATTCCCTCCGCCTGTAAACGCCATTTTTCCTTATTACAATTGGCTTCAGTGGTACATGTTACTACCATCTACCGGCAACTGCTTAAATTAAAACTTGAATACTCGGAATAATTTCATATGTTCTTTTTTGCCATATTCGTCATTGTTTTTTCACTATAACGCTTCGAAACCCCGGATGGAATTATGAATAACCCTGCATTTAAAAATATCAATGTTTCAAGATAAATTGTTCAAATTTAGTTTCCAGCAAGTTAACTTCTAATTTGAATTATTTCTTGATTGTAGCGAGGCAACTTATTTTAATTTTAAACCATCGATAATAAAAAAGATAAACTATTTAAGAATGCCATGCATGGTTTAGAAATTCTTACGAAAATTCATATTTAAACTATTTTTTATGTATTCAAAATGTAATAGCTAGAGCTTAAGCTATTCATTTAAGCATCGATGAAATTTGAGTGTTAATTATTTTTTGCATCCTGTGGTTTCTTTGATTTCAAATGATTTCCTTTGATGTTAGATGGCGAAACAACATTCGCTTTAGTAATTTTTTCCTTGGTTCTTTTGGAGGTTTGAGTTCCTGATTTTTTGTCTTTTCCAATATTGGGAGGGAGTCTTTGCGGAGATTTGTTGGAGATTTTTGCTCGGAAACCTTTGCAGTAGGCATCTAATATGGCTGGAGGTATTTGTTCCGGAGAAAGATATTTGGTGGTAACGTAGTAATCCAGTAAAGCATAGCAAATTTTTTTGCCCAGTTGAAGATCTAAGTTTGATCAAAGAAAAAGGTTATGGACAAGACATTCTACATAGTCTACAAAAAACATTCTACAAGGTGCACATAATATACAACCATTTTAGATGAAAAACAGGGTCAATGAAAGATTTTAATTCCATAAAGTTTTTATTTATTACGAAATAAAGTTTTTATTTAATCATAAAGCGGACATAAAGCAATTACTAATGTGCAGCACTCAAAAAAAGTGAACATCGTAATAATTTTTGACGTAATGATCACGTGCTAGGACTCAATCTTATTGATTCAAGGGTCTAACCTTAATGTGCTAATTAATTACTGCAACTGATGATTTAAATTACAAAATAAGAGACAAAAACGTATTTTGTGTGGATAAACACAATTTTTTTCACCGAATATGAATTAAAGTTAATTTCAGTTTTTGAGTAATTCTTCATAGCAAGGAAACTAAGTGAATCTAAAACTTTTTGAAACTCATTTAGTTTGAAATTTTTTGCACCAATTAACATTATTTATCCGAAGTTAATTTCATTAAAAATTTCCTTAATGCTTTCGTTTATTTAAAAATAAGTGAATAAAAATTTTAATTGTAAGTTTTCTAAATTTGAGGGGAATAGGCCGAACAATTCTTGCAATACGAAATAGACAAAAAGAGAGTGACTGATCACAGGCCTAAACTATAGACTATATTTTTCATATTGCGGGTCGTCCAACATATTTTGAGGATACAAATCCGTCGGAAAAATGATATATTTAATCAGAAAAAGTACGTTTGTGTCTGCTCTTTTAATTTATTCACCAAATTATTCAACAAAAAATAAGTACCTTTTAAGCACTTTTGAGTACTCAAAAAATATTTTTAAGCACTTAAAATCATAATTAGGAAAAGTTGGAACGTTTTTGTCAATTGACGTTTTATATTGTTTTAACCGTCATGTCAAAAAAAAAACCTTTTGCATTGTTTTTGACAAGTGTCAAAAATTATGAAATTTTGAATCATGTAAAACGAATGGCATTTTCATACGCTACGGACTGACAATAGGCCCAAATAGATTGGGGTTGAATTAATTGTGAAAACGTTGAATAGGAACAATGTGACCTGTATCTTTTTGCATAATTCGAAGCGAAAATCAACGTGGTAAAGGAAAAATCTCATTTTGAAAAAGGGAAAAGTAAAGCATTTTTTAAAAACACCTAATGAAAAAAGCACCTTTAAGGGCTTTTAAAAATCGAAAATAAGCACCTTTAAGCACTTTTTAAAAACGCTATGCACCCTGTTAAAATATCATATATGCACTAATTAATTGGCAATTCTAAGCTCACGAACCATCAAGATTGATTCTAGTACGAGAAAATCCGATTATTAGATCAAACGTTATTAAGGTCATCATTTTTTTATGCATTGTGCAGTGCGCAAAAATAACGATCACTCTGAATAACGTTTGATTTTATGACCAGATTTTTACATTCTGAGACTTAATTGTTTGACGGCCTAACTGTAAATACGCTAATTAGAGCAGACAATATTCTAAGTTTGGAAATTAGACAAATTACTTTCTCGGAACAAACACATTCTTTTTTTTAAAAATAAATTTTGGTTTTTGACTCTAAACATATGGGGCTTCACCGTAATCTGGATTATAAAATTTGTCTATCTAAAGATAATTGCACATAAAAAATAATTTTTACTATACAATTTTTTTCATTATATAAGAGACAATGAGACAATTCGTTTCTCAGCCAAGACAGTGAGGGCATTTAAAAGTTATGTTCACCTACTTTAATTTTATCATAAAATTCTACATAATGACCAATTTAAAAATTACATGAAAGTAACTCGGAGCTCAGGGGATACAGCGTTTGCCTTACAATGCGGTGATCCAAGATCGAATCCCAGCGGTGGCTGGTTGGTACGAATTCTGCTGCCGTCTCGCACCTGCCATAGTACTGATGCAAAATATCCCCAATGGTAGACAGAATATGGGTTATAATTGGTCGGGCTAACCATGGGAGGTTTCTTCTCCATGTAACGCAAATGTGGGTTAGTTCCATCAAAAAGTTCTTCGCGAAGGCTAGTTTGTCCCATGCAGGTGTTCCCTTGTCTTCTAGGTTGCTACAAAGCTACGGAGCTGAACATTGATAGTTGTGAACTCAGAATTTCGTTTGCTGTTCAACGCTGGTTATAAAATAAAATAAAATATTAAATGAAAATGTATTTTACTTCAAATTTATATACCCTGTTCCAATTTTAACAACCTATATTTATATGTTTGCTACCACCTCATTATAGGAAACCTTAAAATAAATAGAAATCTTAAAATAATATAATAGATGAAAATAGTCTTCCTCAGCTAAGTAAGATCTACCTTTTAGAAAAGCGAAAATCCCTTTATTTTCTTTAATAGTTACATCATTCTAAATAGACTATTCTTCTACTTTCTTACACAATCGCGAAATCACTCTATACATTTTTGCATACGCAATGACAGTTTTTGTATGCTCATGTCATTGTCATACCAGCTCCCTGCCATGTCTCAACATTATCGTATACCTCACCAACGAATTAAACAACTTTTCGGTCGAATCTTCTTTAAGTTAAGGAACAGGTTCAAATTACAGGACGTGTGCGCATGTAATGATGATCCATTGATAGACGATGCGTGAAGAATGCTGCTTGTTCAATTTTCTCTTATTTTTAAATGATAGTTCGATTTTTTGTCTTTTTATTAGTGCCTCATAGTATTTTTCAGCTGTTCCAGTAGGTTGTTAATCTAGTTCCGACTTCAGACAATTTTGTTCTGCCGGCGAGGTGAAATTGAAGTTTAACACTTTTTCAAAGAAAAGGTGGGAAGCATGGTGTCCCAGCGTCTGCAAAAATGCATCAACTGATTCACCTTCCATTGAGGTGAACCAGGTTCGAATCTCAGCGATGACTGGTCGAAATGAACTCCGCATCCGGCTTGCACCGACTACAGTGCTGACGTGAAATATCTTCAGTGGTAGACGGATCATGGGTTACAGTACCGCGGTTTTACACACCATGTAAAGTAAATGCGGGTTAGTTCCATCAAAAAAGTTCTCCACGAAAGCAAATTTCTCCCAATACTTGATCTAGGAGTTTCCTTGTCTTCTGTATTGGGTTCAAAATTACAAGGCTACGGAGTTGAACATTAGTAGTCGTAAACCCAAGAAATTGGATTGGCTGTTCCACGACGGTTATAAAGTTATAAAAAAAACTATGTAGAAAAATTGACTTCTAACATCAAATATATTAAAAAAAAGATAAACTTATTTCGTCTTTCTTAAAAATAGGAGGCCTGAATTCTGGGATAGTCATTGTATTTACTTTTTATTTGCAGTTATGTCTTATAATTTGTTTGACTAGTGATATTCATTTCATGTTGGTGTTTAATTTCATTAAAGAATATTCTGCACATTTTTAATACTGTAAAATATTGTTAATTTTACTATACGATATATTAAAAAATCATTAATTTATGTATTAGAACAAATATAAGAAAATCAAAATACAATTAAAATCATTATTTAAGAAGATTACTTTTTAATTACAAGTGCGTGTATAACGAATTCTTCAAAAGTCAATTTTAGTGACGTCATTTTAGTAAGTAGATAGATTTATTTAACATTTAATTTGTTCGAAAAATTATTTCCTCCACAAAGGAAACTTCATAATTAAAGCTTTCATTAGTATAACGAGGGAATATCTATTAATTATTTAAACTTCTGTGAAACCTTTTAATATGAAAGGGCATTTTTTTAAAACTAATCAACAATGTAAGCGTTAAATACCGCAAATATCATTATTGTTTTACAATTCAAAAGAAAAAGTAAGATTTATTTTTAATTAAATTTGAATACATCTAGAATAAGATTGCTTCTATTATTGAATTGAAATTTAACATTTATCTACAAGACTTATCATATTTTATTATTCAACATAATTAGCGATAGGAATATTTAATTACTGTCCTAACTTTTGTGAGAATGAATAATGCATAACTTTGAGACAAAGTGAAAGTATGCTTTAAATTATTCCATGATTTAATTAAAATGATTTCTTTAACATTCCTCTGAATATTTTTGTACTAGTTAAGGAAAATGAACTGTTTTTAGTAATTTATTTGAAAATGTAATAATACTTTAAAATAAAATATCATTTATGTTAATAATCATTTCGAAGTAAAATTAAAAACAAAAATGAGTACGAGAAATTGATTAAAAACTGACATAAAGATATTAAAAAGATTTAAGCTATATTGAAAAGAATTATATTACATACAATTTCATAAGAGCAAAAGAGTCCAAAAGTTTCAGAGACTTCTATGGAACCATGTTGAAAAATATTTCTTCTTAAATTATTTGATTGAAGATTTGCACGGACTGTCTGTTAACAAGTCTATCATTATAACGCCTCCAAAAATGTTTTTTTGAGGAATCATTTTAAATAGTAATTTTTTATGCTGCTTACAAAGTTCTGCTTGAACTACGGTGGTTTAGGGTTGCCCAAGGGACATTAAATTACTTCCATTTTATTTAATGTGGTTGGGATCAAAGTTACAAGGCTACGGATCTGATCATTGATAGACGTAAAATTTCCGACTTTACAATGCCAGCTATAATATATATATATATATATATATATATATATATATAAATTTAATAAAATTATATTGAATACAATTCAAATATAACTANGTATATTGTACTTATCTTTAAAAATGCAGTTCTTATTTCACTGTCATATATATATATATATATACGCTTCTTGAAAAAGTAAAAAATACGAAAAATTTGACTTTTAAAAAATTTCTGAAAGATGTATTCGAACTAATAGTGTTGAGGCTCAAATATTTAGCAGCAAAATAATGGTTTACTTCTAGACAAACGCACATTTAGTTTAAAATAAAATTAGAAAAATTTTTTTTTACGGTTCCTATAAATATTCAAAACTAATTTATTTATCAAAAACATTAACTTATAATAATATCAAAATAGACACTAAATTAAAACATGAGTTAAATGGAATAATATATTTTTTTTATTATATTGCTTTTAATTTGAATAGATGTAACTAAAATGAGAAATTTTAACTGAAGACGATATCGACGTGAACGTGATTTAAAATATAATAGAAGGCCACATTATTATACTTTTTTTATCCTCATAATGAAGCCACATGATTGTAGTGGGACGAATCAAGATTAACCTTCTGTTTCTCCTTGTTATTTCAATGAAAGAAAATTGATGTTAGAATTTTAAAACCAAAAATCCTAAATTATGGTTGTTTATTGAGCGGCATTTGGGTGAAAAGAAAAATTTGATAAGGAAGAATCATATGCATTTCACATGTAAGTTAATTTATCACTTTTTAGAATAACAAATGTTTTATTTATTATATAAATGAACTTTTAGAATGTTCTTCTTTTCTTTAAAACATCGTTAATCCCGTATAAACGTATAAGATTATAACTTAACTATAAAGTAATGATTATATAGAATTTTTCATTATCAATACACAGCTATTTTTAATTTCAGTCCTAAAATGTAGTAGGCGAAGTTATGGCGACATTGTTGTTCCTAGCCTTCTTAATTTAATTACGTTATATTTTTAATTTTCTATAATGTTCTTGAAAGAATAAATTCTATGATATTTTTTAAATTCAGCAGCTTGATTGGAATTCATTTAGTTAGTAAAATACATTAGAGGTGTATGAAAGATTATTAAATAAAATTACTCGATAAATAGAACAATTTCTTTTTTAACACTTAATTGGGTGCTCGCAATTCGAGAAGAAGGGAAGTGATTATACCCAATTACGTGATTTAAATTAGATTTAATTAGATGTATATAAGCGACGTCACGCTAAGCCAATCAGCTCCGAACCTGATTGGCTTCAGAATCGACAAATGTCACGTTTTAGCTAAGGTGACGTCACTTGCAGGTATCCAATTGTAAGTTCTTTTATTCATAAGATAGTTTTAAATTTAAATCATCTGCTCCATTTTAATTACAATAAATTACAATATGTGAAAAAATTGAGTCTACTAGCAGTGGTGTTAATGCAGATTTACTTTATCATTGCAGGTGTAAAACTTAAAGAACGGAAAGTTTAAGAGTGGTGCGGATTTTTTTTTGAAAAAAAGGTTTTTAACGGTGAGGCAGCTCTTTCTTATTCTAAATTTTCATTTAATTTTTGACTCTTCCAAAATTGTTTCTTGTATGTGTTTTCGAAAATTCAAATTACCTGAAAAGATATCCCTGATTTTACAAGAAATAGTACTATTGTAAAACCTATGTTATACTAAAATTTAAATATCAATAAAAAATTATATGGGGCTGCTACAAAATAACTACAGATGTTTCGGAAAACTACTAAATCAAATTTAATACGTTTTATCAAATTTTTACTGTTTTTATATTAAAAAAGTTAAGATATTAAAAAATTAAAATTCTCTTAATTTTGCAAAAATGGAAGCATTTTTATGCTGTTTATGCGTATTAAAAAACAGAAATTCTAAAATAATTTTTAATCTTGTCCAAAAATGATCCAATATTTCACTGCTCCGCAAATTTGAACTCTTCTGAAGCTCTTAATTTCCATCTATTGCCTGCATAAGAATAAAATACGAATCTACCAGAAAAGAAAACTCATCTCAACTGTCAAACGAACCCCTTTCCCCCCGCCAAAATTGCCGAAAGGGAGAGAGCACGTGACTAAAGGGACTCTGTTTGAGATGATGGCGAAATATAACAACGGGCTTGCTTTATTTGTATTACAGCTACCAATATTACCAATAGTTACTACCAATATATAGTTGATAACAGTTAAAAAATATGTCTTTAAGGATACATTCTTCTTCATTGTAGACATGAACCGTCGTACTATTTCCCTTTGGCATCTCGTAACCATGGAAACTGACTTCCAGTGTATAACAATTCACTTTATCATTGAGGAATGATGATAGAAATCTAGAAAAAAAAATGACACAGTGTAAAATTGACTGCTTGTAATTCGAGTAGTAAAGTGAATATGCCTAACCATATGATTTAAATCAGATTTAATTGGATATCTGAAAGCGACGTCACGCATGTCTGTAGAACCTGATTGGCTTCTGAAAAGACAAATGCCATGATTTACCCTCGATGGCGTCACTTGCAGGTATCCAACTAAATAACTCTCATCAAATGAATTCAGAACTCTTAGTGGAATGTGCTTGGCTCCCTTGTTAAAAGAATAAATGAGATGGAGTATAATTTCAAATCAATTGTCTAATTATGTGTCAGTTCTATATTTATATTCATTTCAAGAATATAAATTAAGATTTTTAGTAAATTAAACGATGGCGAACATATAAATTAATATAGGTACAGTTTTAGAAACATTGAAATAAAAGTAGTTCTCAAAATAGACTGGTTTTTAAACGTTATGTAAATAATTGTACTAAAATTATACAGTATATTAGTGTAAGTGCAATAAAAATCTTTGTATTAAATTAAAAAATATAATTTTACCAATTTTGTAATCAAAGTGCAGGGTTTTGGCTAGCTTGGGTAAAGTAATGATATTCATGTCAATGTTTTCGCCATACACATCACTTGCGTAAATTTGTTTTGGATTCTATGGTCAATCAATCATTGTGAGTCGTGGTGGCTCAGGGAGTGTTCGCCTCCTAATGAGGAGAATTGGATTCGAATAGCAGCGTTGGCTGGTCGATACGAACTCCGATACCACAGAGCTGACGTAAGAGTATCCTCAGTGGTAAATGGATCATGGGTTAGAATTTCCTTACCGTTGAGCTTACCGCGGGAGGTTTTCCTTTCCATATAACGCAAATGCGAGTAAGTTCCATAAAAAGTTCTCCATGAAGGCTAGTTTGTCCCAACGCTTCACCCAAGTGTTTCTTTGACTTGTGGGTTGGGTTCAAAATTATAAGGCTGCAGAGTTGAACGTTGATAATCGTGAACTCAGAATTTAAGATTTTGCTCAACCGAGAATTTTAATAATAAAAATTTAACTGTCACAAAAGTATCAGCACAAAGCAAATCATGAGACTCTAAAGCTTTATTTTGCTATGTGGGAATTATACAACACATCATTGAGGAATGATACATATTTTGCGTAAGACCTAAATTTGAAAACTATTTTTAGAAATATAAGTTTTCAAAAATTATTTGTAACGTAATTACAACGAAGTGATCACTAAAAAATTCAAAATAAAAAATAATATTTTTAAAAACCACCTTTTTGTAGTGGAGAATAATAATTAAAAAAAAATTGAAAAACGAAAAACGTGGAGCGCATGAAATACATAACAGTAATGTTATAGTGTGTGTATGTGTGCTCTTGAGAATATATGTATGGTATATCTGTAATTGTAATTGTATCTAAATGTGGATGTGGAATATGTTTGTGTATATGCATATGTATGTGGATGTATATGTGGCTGTGCATGTGTATGAGTAAGAAAATGTGTATATTTATGTGTGTATATACTGTTATGTATTTCATGCTCCCCATGTTTTTCGTTTTTCGATTTTTTTTAATTATTATTCTCCACTACAAAACGTGGTTTTTAAAAACATTATTTTTTATTTTGAATTTTTTTATTTTTAATTATAATTTTTTTAATTTTTATTTTATATTTTTTAAAAGTTATTACTTTTCAATTATTATTCTTCACTACAAAAAACGTGGTTTTTAAAAATATATATTTTTATTTAGATTATTTTTCTTAGTCAAGAGTAGTCAAGACTACTACAAGACCACTACTAAAATAATAGAACTTTCATTTTAAATTAGGGATACAAAAATCTTTATAGAAAAACAATACCTTTACGACTTTCATTAGTTTTATGCTGATGACAACCAAAACAATCT